TGGTAGCGTGAACGATGTTTGTGGATGAGCTGAAATTTTTCAGGTTTGCTGCGGGGCTCCCCAAATGAAACAGTAGCAGCAACAAAAGTATCAGGAAGCCTCCCTCAATTTTCCTTTGATTTGTATTGTAAAATATGTAGAAGAGGAACCATAGCAATAACCCCCAGCCACTAACTTCATTTTCAGTGATTTCTTCAATATAATGTCTAAGTCTAAATCTATTTCTGCTTCTGTGGAAAGGTGCCATGTATCTTAAAATAATTCTGCACCATTGCCAAGAAATAGCAGGCAACTACTCACAACAGGCTGCTTGTATACATGCTCAGCTATTTAACCTCAGATAGTTAATCTTAAAAATTCCCAGTACATTTTAACATGCGTGAAAACCTCAACCCTCTATTGGTAAAATATTAGGAGGCAGGACAGGATTCAAGAGGTATTCTCCTGCCCTGTAATTTTAAACTTTGTGCCTATCAGAGTCACATACCTCCTATTAAGTCTGCTGTTGTATTGACAAAAAGTCAATGGCTCAGCTGTAAAGTCAGTGAGGTTGAGATTACAGAAGTTATGACACCATCTCGTTATACCCTTACCTTACGTTATGCCAAAATCACAGACGGGTACAATAGCTGTTATCCTGTTTTCAGAAGCACTGTTCCTGCCTGAAGCACAATGGCTCCAGAAGCAACTGTAGAGAAAGCATTCTGTCATAAGTTTTGTCTTAAGAACACAATTAAGTCCTTATGCTACTTATTTTGGTTGCTAATAGGGAGTTAGACCACTTCAGAAAAGGACTAATGCCAAAGTTTTTGGTTTAACTTCAGAAAGCATTATATAAGTTAGATTAATTGTGGAATATTCTCTGATACTTCCACAATTCATCTTCCTCTTATCCCCAGAGGCAAGTCCCCTTTTCAGGTTGTCATAGTATCAGTCTTGACTACTTCAATAACCTTTATGTGACCTCAGCACACACGCTTTCGTTCATAAAAAAAGAATGCAGTTGCTAAAGCCATGTTCTTTACCTACTGATTGAATAAGGTCACTTTATTCTTCAAATCCTTCCACAAAGTGAATATAACATGGAACTTGTCCTGTCATTAAAGAAAATCCCTTCTGTGTTCCTCCTTCTGTTCCCCTGACTACTTGCTTATATGTTCTATATATGTCTAAAGTAAATACATTTTGTTGTTATAATTGTTATAGTCCATTTTACTGTAGCATTTTAGCACAAGCTAGGTGTGCATTAATGTGATGCAATAAACTCTGGAAGCATTTGACCCAGAGGAAGCTGCTCCCAGGTTCGGCATCTACACATTGTGCCTGGGACAGCAGCAACTTGAGCCAGGGCAGAGTAGGCCCAAGTTGGTAGGGGGCACCAGAGGTCAGCCCCAAGCTCCAGGTGGTGGCGCTGGGTCTGGGTGGGACACAAGGGTGCTGAGAGTGGCAAGCCATGTGGTGAAGCGGCAGACAGCCCCCACGCTTTAGCACCCTCATGCACCAGCCAGCCCTGTCACCATCTACATGGGCATTTCAGTGCAATTACTCTGCCATAAGACTGTACTATCCCCGACAGTACAATTTTATGGTGGAGTCCATTAATTTGTTGCACCCTAGTACCAGCACATGTGCAGACACGGACGCTTTATTGAGGAGATAATTAGTCAATGCCACAGCAAAGTGCACCTGTAGATGCACCCATTGTAAGTAAACCACAATGCGCATGTCTACAAGTGCATTTTAATGCATATTAGTCTATTTCAATACACATTAAAGTGTCCCTAAAAACATGCTTTTTAGTTAATGTGCATTAAAATAGACTAATGCGCATTAAATGTTACTTAAAAACCATGCTGTTTGGTTAATGCTCATTACACACATAGATTTATAGAAGTTTAGGGCTAGGGACCTTGTGAGATCATTGGGTCCAGCCCCCCTGCTCTGGACAGGCTAACGTGCATTTTCCTCGTATCTTACAATGGAGAGCTCTTTTACACAGTGGTGGGGGAGGGAGATGCCTTAATTAAAGCAGCTCTGAGAGCCACCACATCTCCTGTATCAGTGTCCCCTCACTTAAAAATGGTCATGGGGATGCTTGAACTAAACTCATTCGACAAGTTTTAATTCAGGTGCCCTTGCTGCCATTTTTAAGTGTGGGGACACTGATACACAAAACATGGGAGACTGCTGGATTAATCAAATCTGCTCTGATGTGCTGGAATTCCAGCATGTCAGAGCAGCCTTGGCACTCATATATAGGGTACTAGACTTAATGTGCCCATGAGTACTAGGCTTAGCGTATATTAACTAAAGTGTGTTAATGCATGTGCACACATGCCCAATATGTCCTTAGAATGGATGCCACAGCACACAAACTCTGTCTTTTCTTCGATATCAGGAAAACACCTGATCCTTTAGATTCTAACATAAACAGAATATTTAATGATCAATTATATAACCAATACTACTAAAATGTCCCAACTTGAAACGGTTTTAGGGACCAATGCTCAGAAATCTTAGTTTAATGAGCAAAAGCCCTCCTATGTGGATGAGAAAAACATCCACAGAAATACATTTGTTGAGACTAGTTAGGTTAAGGAACTGATTAAACAAGGTTTAAAAGTTTTTCCTCAGCTGGAGTAGACTGGAAGTAGGTAGCAAAACTGTTCCTGAAAAACTAGAAAGTATTTCAAACTGGGGACCATATAGACTGCTAATTAAACTCTAAGCCCGGTTAGGTTCTCCTTAGATATGGCCATTGGAAAGAAGAGCCCAAAGATCACTTTATCAGTGATTTAAAGGAGCCTAGAAACTAAAATAGAAATAAGTGGTTAGGATGAAGGATAGTTTAAACTCATGACATTTTAGTATGTTCACACCTCTAGATTGTCAGAGACAAGTTTATTGCTTGATAGAAGGTAGCATTGCTTACAAACACAAAAACACAGTCACCAGCAATAGAATAGGGTCTACATTTTCTATGAACAGAAGTATTAATAGTATCTTAAAGTACAAACAAATAGTTTTGTTTAGATGGGTTGCAACTCATTATTTTACATGATGGAAATTTCTTAGAATTATTACTAGAACAAAACATTACCTTGAAAATATTACCAGGGATAATCTAATTCAGAATGTGCTGTAAAACTGTTGCCTAAATAGATCAAAATTGCCTTTGGGAGCAATTCCATCAGAACAACATTTCACGTTCAGCCTAAGAGATTTGATTGATTTTGATGAAGCTCTAAGATGTTGGATCCTGTGGTTAAGCTATAATTGGTACCTAAACGTAAAAAGGATTTAAACGGGATTTAAAGAATATAATTGGAATATATTATCTGAATAATTTTTGTATTATTTTGCTGTCTTTATGCAATTCAATGCACATTTTTAGAAGGCAATATGAACTGCTTTGTATAATGAAAACAATAGATTTCAAATTGCAGCTTTGTGCTCTTTCTGAAATCTCAGTACATTTCTATTAGCTTTATGGGACATAATTAAAAAATTAACCCCATGATACAGCATCAGAATTATAGTGTCTTATTACATGTTATGTTTTTCTATTATTTGTAATGCTAGTGTTGCTTAGTAACATAAAGGAACATCAGTAGATTTGGTACACATTAAACAGAAGTGAGGCTTAGGAAATTCAGGCTGCAGTGAGAACTAATAAAATGCAGAATACAACGTTTTTTATTTTATACTTTTTGAGAGTCTTAGCCAGAACATTTGCTAAAGGGGCTAATGAGTCAGCTGAAAAATCATTGTAATATAGCAGAGTGCAACAGTTAAGGGTTTCCATCTGAGTTTGTATTATAAAATCTGCTGTTCTTTGGGGGTTTGTAAGGCATCATACTTCAAGCTGAAATGAAGCTATAGGTTCAATTTAACCACTGAAAATAACACCATAATTAATAATAATACGAGAGACATGCTAGGATGGGACGGGCTCCATCT